GGTCCGTTCGGTGTGTTTCGAGCTGTCAAGGTTCGTCTATCTATCTCCGTCTCTCCTTTACTATATATCTGACAAGTTTACTGCCCCACAGCCCTGGAAAGAATGGATGGCCATCATGTTCTCCACCCCCTCCGGCGAAAAAGAGCGTCCCACCGACTCCATGTACATGGATCGAGTCCGCGAATTCATCGGCCCCTCGTGTCCCCCTACCCAACTCATCTCCATCTCCCACTGGCGCGTCCGCGAAACCGTTGCATCCGCCTACTCCCTCGGCCGCGTCCACTGCGCCGGCGACGCCGTCCACCGCCACCCTCCCGCCAACGGTCTCGGCTCGAACACCAGTATCCAGGATAGCTACAACCTCGCGTGGAAGATCGCGTATGTCTTGCAGGGTAAGGCGGGTCTTAGGTTATTGGATACGTATTCGGCTGAAAGACAGCCTGTGGGTGTGGGTATGATCAAGCGCGCGAACGACGGGATCCGGGATCATATGAAGTTGCATGCGGCACTTGGGTTCCATCAACCTGGGTTGAGCTCTGAGGAGGCGGTGGAGAAGGCGAAGGCGACGTTGAAAGAGTTGAAGGAGGCGGGGGAGAGGGGGAAGGAGAGGAGGAGGATCTTCAGGGAGGCGTTGGAGATTAGCGATACGGAGTTGAATGCGTTTGGGATTGAGATGAACCATTTCTATGAGTCGAGTGCGGTTTGGCTGCAGGATGAGAGGGAGGAGCCGGTGAGGCCTAAGGATCTGCTGAGGGAACATATCCCTTCGACGTATCCGGGCTCGCGTCTTCCTCATGTGCGTTCATCCCCTCTATTCTCATTCATGGTATACTTACTGAGATGGCTTTCTTCGTCTTTGATTTAATAGGCTTGGCTAAGCACCCCAACCCCCACCCACGCCCGCATATCAACGCACGACCTCGCAGGCAAAGGTGCCTTCGCCCTCTTTACCGGCATCGGCGGCTCCGCCTGGCACTCCGCCGCCCAAGCCGTCTCCCAGCGCCTTGGGATCACGATCAACGTCTTCTCCATCGGGTACGGCCAGGCGCACACGGACTTGTACAATGAGTGGGCTGAACGACGTGGGGTGGAGGACGATGGGGCGGTTCTTGTTCGGCCGGATAGGTTTGTTGCGTGGAGGTCGGGTGTGACGCTTGGGGAGGGGGCGGAGGAGAAGTTGGAGGGGGTGATGAGGAGGGTGCTTTGTCTTTGAGATTCTTTGGATTGGTCTGTCGTCGTCTGGGAGGATCAGGCAGTTCTGTTTTCAATCTATGTCGTTGTCGCACCTCATGTCATCGTGCAAGTCCAGCTATGAAATTTCTCCTTCAGACACAGGCAAACCTCATTTGTGATAGCAGCTCCTCAATCATATGTATGCCTAGGACGATGTTCTTGAACCGACCACCTATTGCAATAGCAAGCCCTCGGCATTCCAGATTTCTGTCAGGCGTCAACTAGCATCGAGGCCCTGAATGCAAGTAGATTATGTACAATTATCAAGGGAGAGCACGATAGTGACTATCACTATTACAGCAGCATAAAACAACTATGCTACACGAGGTTAAAGAGAGTCGTCCTGCGTTCAAGGCAGATAGGGGGAGGGAGGTACATATACAGTACGTAGAGGATGAATGAGCGTCGCGTAACATGCAAGTGAGGTACGTGAATGAGTGTAGTAGTGGAATAAGGAGAGGGGATAGTATGTATGAGGGAGGAGATGAATGATTGTGAAGGAGAAGATTAATGAGGGTGTGCAACGAGGGTGGGTTTTACATGTGAATGAGCGAGGCAGTCAATGAATGTGGTTGTGTCCGTGGGTGATGATGGAACATGGATAAAGGAATGCGGTGAAGGGGGGAAAGACACAATGTCAGGGATGACAGATCGAGAGAAGGCCGTTGATTGGAGTGAAAATCATCTAAGAGGTGTCAGGCTGGTGGTCAGACATGGAAGAGCAGCATCCTAAGACGACCACATACCAGAATCATCTCGAGGCGGAACGTCGACGCTCAGATTTGGAAACTCAAACTGCTCTTGCGACGACGAAGAGTCCTATCCGAGCAAGGGCCAGCGGTAGCGTTGGGCTTGGAGGTTTTCAGAGCCGCGGCGGTAGCCAATGAGTTCATGGTCTGCCTCCCGATCTTCTTGATACTGATAGGCCCACTGGCACTCTGTACGCTCCTCTCCTTGACAACGTGCCTCTTAGCGTTCGAGTCCTTGGCCGTGACCGTCTTCCCCTTCTTGGTAGGTGAAGGTGAACCTGGACAGCTGCCGCCTTTCACATGCTTGTTGACGGCATCCTGGCGGGAAAAGCTGAATCAAGCCGACCTTCGATCAGCGGACGTAGGAAGGTAGAGAATTAGAAATGAGACTCGTACTCATTGTGACAGCTCGGGCACTCGAACCTCTCCTTGGTGTGGGCGTGTAGAGTCTTCCAGTGTCGTTCGACAGAACCCTTCTCGGTGAATGGTCGTCTGACTTTGCAGTGCTTGTGTAGGCACTTCCAGCCATCACCGACTCTCTCAAAAAGCGGCGCCTGCGCCGAGTCGATGTCGTTGTTCAGCATGGAGTCGTCGCCCATCTCGAAATCTTCAGTGTCCTGGTGGCAGTACTCGACTGCAAACAAATCACTTAGCACAAACACTCGTACATGATCACAATCCAAAAGACTACTCACCAGGCGTCTGCGTAAGCCGAGGGTCGATTCCCATGTCCTGCCTATACAGCTGGTTTTCTCGCTTGTGCCTATCCTTCATTTCCTGCAACGCTTGCATCTTCCTATCGGATAGGCCATGTTTCCGACCCTTGCGTTCGTGTCGAAGAGGTTGAACTTGGATGGAGGGATCGTACGAGTACACTGCGCCAGGCAGCTCGAGAGGGGTTCCAAAGTAAGGGTATTCCATGCCGGATGATTGAGAAGGTATGAAGTGAAGTAAAGGTGAAGTCGTGAAAGGAAGAGGTAGGAGAAGGAGGGAGAGAAGTGAGAGATATGTCATTATGTGATGGAATTGGAGGAAGATACAGACAGTGCAGAGACTCATTGTTTCCCAGTTCGTCCAGCCTGCGTTTTTTTTTTTTTGCGCGATCGGGATAATGGACCCTCGCCTCCACACCCCAGCCTAGCAATGGAACACTAAGGAGGGCGGGTGACCGCATTGAGCGATGGATTGCAGAGCTGACTCCGGGTCAGGAGGAGAAGATGGGGTAGCCTCGTTGTCGTCCATTGTCCCCCAGTTCGTCCAGCCGCGGGGAAAGCAGATGTCGACCGTGACAATGGAACCGGGCTTCCACGCCCTAGGCCTGGTGCTAGGTACGGCGCCCATTTGCAGCAATGGGGCATCGAGAAAGGCATCAACCCACTTGGACCTTTGCTTGTGTGGCCGCTGACAGAGTGGCCATCGCGGATGTTTGGCGGCCAGAGTTTCGGTTGTTTTCTTCGCCACTCATGTTCATCCGCAACTGTCGATGAGGCAACTCAGTCTGAAGCCTTGCGTCGTGAAGTCCTTCCCTTCGAGATGGAGGAGCCCCGCTCTCGAGGAGGCATCGAACTGGAAGCAACACTGATGAGAATTTATCGCAGACACGACAGGGAAAGGGTTCCTAACCAAGACCAGGGACACACAGACGTACATTTTTCGAAGCAAACGACGTCCAATACTAGTAGCCGCCCTTCCCTTGCGATTATGTTGGGATGAGAAGCTGTTGTTCCACTCGAGGCTGGTCTGCCGCTGTTTCTAGACTGATGCGCAACCGGTACCCCGTTTCGTGTACGCCCGCTTAGTGTGGTGAACGCTGAAGAAGCCCGAGCTCGTCTTGCGCCCGCTTGTTGACGATGGTATACAGCCCGTGGAGCCAAGACAGCTGCGCTAGGTATGAGTTATCCTCGAAGCTATCTCATTCTAGACGAGCCAACAAATATGCTCTACTCGTCGATTTCGGTGCCAAGCCCAAGTGAGCTTGCACCAGCTGTTCCTTTGAAGCGTTCTCTAGATTCGATTGTTGGATGAAACCTAGGATCTTGTGAGTGAATATTGTCGTCTTCCACAATACCCGCCCATGATCCAAGGAAGACTGCTCACCAGATTCTTAGGGAGCATCTGCTTTCGCGTTCACTGGCGAAAACCTAGCAAGATCCCCTCATTATTCCAACTCTACAAGCACCGACTCCTTCTGCGAGGCCACCTTGTGAGAGCGTGTCGGTATATTTCCTTGATGAAATGTTAACGTAGAAGTATCGAGCTGCATTGGCAAGATTGTCAGTACGAGCTGAGTCTAAACGCCTACAATTCTTGACTTCCAGAGTTTTTCCTATGCACGGAAGCGTGAGGTCGCTGGGGCTGTGCTAGAAACGTCCGCTTTGTCCTCCACGTCGATGCGCACAAGCAACAATCGAGTCTACATCTGGAAGCATCAAAGCGTCGAACCGGAGGTCATTCAGGTGGCGCGTACAGTGCTCCTAATAAAAAGACCATCCGTGCTGTTGGATGTGATTGGGACAGCCGGAGCACAGGGCAGAAAGGACTCGACGACTGAGGGTAAATGCAACCAGGCGGTGTTCTTTCTCCGTGCGACCAGTGTCTTCGATCTGGACTGATACACTGACGAACAACTGCAGATTTTCGGTATTGGCCACCTTATAGAAGCGAGGCCGTTTTCTTGGATGTGAAAGCAAGAGTAGATGGATTCTGTCCACCGAGTCAGGTCTCCAAGTGGAGCAAGTTGAAAGAGCTGAGAATGGCCGCCAATCAAAGCGAGAGTTACCGCCGAGGACTCCTCGGATGCCATTGCACTTAGTCTTGGAGGGAAGTGCCGAAAGCGGCTCCAAGTTCCAACAAAATATTGACGGTGTTGGTCCTAGTATCCAGATTCCAGATTCCAGTTGATCTCACAATGGTTCTCGTTGGGTACCAGGATCCCTTGCGGACAGTAAGTCAGTGAAGGAAAAAATCCGAGATAAGCTTGGGGCAAACAGTACTGGCAACTACTGACTAGTTGTAGAGTGCCCATTGGCTGGATTGAACAACCGACCTCACCATTGTAATGATTAACCTTACGAGTGGCGCGCTCTACCACTGAGCTAAACGGGCTATGAGGAAAGTAATAAACTGTAGAATATATAGACCAAATCAGTACGAGCAGCAGCAGAGCCATGCCTCGTGGAATCGTGCTTGCTTGTTCCTGCTTGCCTGCAACGTCTTCGACTCTGCGCTCCGATCAGACGCTCGACCCCCTCCCACCATCGTCTCGAGTCGCCCGCTGCGCCGACGCTCCATGAATCTTATTATCCCAGCGACGATATTGCTTTCTTGCGACCATTATCTTCTCGCTCTCCTGTCTGTGTGCTGAACGCTGTGAAGAGGTCCCAGCTTGGTCTCGCGCATAACTCTAAGATGCTGTTGTGAACTAAGACGACTCTGGCCATCTCCCTGATTAACTTGACAATGTTCCCTAGGAAATTGGGTGGATGCACCTGCAAAACCTGTAAGGACTATCTGGAACTTTGGGCTGAACTCCTACCCAGGGGGGCATTTGGTCTCGACACCGCCCTGCCAACAGCCTGTTCTTGACCTGTTCTCCTGTTCCATCGTATAGCTGGTCTCAAGGTATAAATACGGGCACGATTGGGGCTAAGAAGCTCACTTCACAGTACAACACAACACAGCACAACTCACGTTAACAACACTCGCACTTGCTGCAGCAAACAACCTCACACCCAACCCAACTCACAACCCAACCACTTTCAACATGTTCAATTCGTTCATATTCGCTTCATCCCCGGGGGCATCTTCCTCGGGGTCGAGCTCAGCTCTTACCCACACCCACACTCGACAATCCCCCATCCAGAGTACAAAGTCGACCAAACCCGCCTACAAGTCGCTCCCTCTCCCCGCCGACTGGACCATCGTCCATGAATTTGGCATGAAGCTCTACCACCACACCCTAACTGGCGTCGTCACCGACAAAGACCCCTGTCGCCCCGCGGCACACGAGGTCATCAAGGGACAGTTCAACAAGTTGGTCGGCGCTACTAGGAGAGGGAGCGCAGAGCTCTCAGAGCTCGTCTTCTCGAGGAGAGCCAGCGATGCTACCGCTGCACCAATGAAGATGCGTACGAGGACGAAGTCGTACCAGCACAAGATCAAGGCGCGCACTCCCCTCCCTGCACCCGCCAAATCCAGCCGCAAGTCCCGCACAATCGCACATGTTGCACTCGTGCAGAAGCGGGACCGTATCTGCCACGCTATCCACAAGGACCTGAGGCCGGGTATGGTGAAGAGAGGCCTGCAGCCCGTGTACCACGTACATTACGCTTTGAGGGCGCAGGTCGTGAAGGGGGAGTTGAAGATGTCGTTGGCGACGATCGAAGAGTCGGACTAGTTCTCATGGACCTTGTTCTTAGGGAATTCTCGATGTACTTGTATCACCTTGGTTCTTTCGACATAAAATTTCCTATAACTCTATTCGCTTGTGTGACGATTATGAACTTTCAGCTCGTTCTCTGTTCTTGTCCTGCTCTACTCAATCTCTACTCAGAGATCACCTTGATGGCAAATCACCAAGCGTCCAGGTAGATTCCAACCCGAACTCTCATGCTCTGCGACGAATGCATGCTCTTTTCATTTCATTCGTGACACCTTCAACCTTGACGGGACTTTATTCGACGAAGGCGTACATTTCGTTTGATTATGAAAGGACATCCCTATGGTTCCCGCATGAGATATCCACCGACCCGTCAGCTCCAGTACGTTCTTCATGTCAAGCTCCAGCTTTGTGCAAACGTCTGGAGCTGGTCCTCGCATTTGCACACTGCCCAAGTATACACTTCCAGGCCAGTGCACCTCTGAGAATGAACTTGAGCTTTCACTGGACGACCTGGACGAGGCAAGCGCTGGTAAGTCCTATTTCTGGCGTGCATGGGGCTTCCCTCAGACTAAGCTGATAATCTGCTGCAGAATCCCAGTCTCTTCTGGACACTAGCTGTGTCTTTCACTTGCTGATAAAACCCCACGGCGCCTCTGATTTCCCCGATAGTGCTTTCGACGCGCGAACATGTATCATCTTTAGGACACCAATACCTCTTTGACCCTCTACCTTTTACTCGCAACCACCGGCCCACCTTCCTTCCTCCTGTCTAGGCTAGACAGGCACAGGTAAATCGATATACCTCCCTGGACAGTTGAGCGTGCGTTGTCCCCCGTCTCTGCTGTATGAAGCTCTCCTGTATTGACCCGTTTTGCAGAACAATTGAAGCTTTGCTGCTAGATGTTCTAACAACCATATGAGATGGCTAAACGCCCATTGACCACCATCTATCTGGTCCTCGCTCAACTTTTGACGCGAGCGATAGCTCCAGTGCTCTACTCCGTGTCCATGGTTGCGCTTACTTCCTCCAAAACTTTACTCACCCCCCGCGACCATTGGCCCAGCTCTCCTCCTACTGTCCAGCCCAGACAGACATACCTCTATATGCCTCTATTGACTTCCACTCTCTCGATCCACTGCCTCCACACAATCTCCGATATCCTTCCACTCGTTCCTCCTGTCTAGCGAGCCCGAACAGATACAAACCTTAGCTCGACCTCCCGTCTATATAAACCTCTTTTCTCCTCTAGCCCTCTCTTTCTTCCCCCCGCCATCATCATTCATCACAGACCACTTGCACCACACACCAAACGCACCACACGCCACCAAACACCAACGATGCCCTACAAACGACCCATCACCGACTTGAACTTCAACATGGCGCTCCTCCTCCCGGCACCGACTCCGGCAGTCGTCGGCTCTTCTTATTTCTCGGTCGTTGGGGTACCATTGGACGTCGGCTTGTTGGCTGGACCAGGTATGTTCTTCTCGCTCTCTTGCGACTTTACCGCCACTGACAATACTTCATTCGTAGAGCCGGAGCAGTTGTTGACGAACTCAATGGGATGTTGGGATCTTGCTGCGATGGTACAAGAAGGTATGTTCTCCTTTCTCTCTTACATCTTGACCACCGCTGACGATACTTTTTGTAGAGCCGGAGCAGGGGTTGAAGAGTTCGATGGGATATTGGGGTCTCGCCATGATGGCAGAGGAAGGTATGCTACTGTTCTTCTATCACATCTTTAACCTATGCTGACAAGCGTTCACTGCAGAGCCGAAAGAAGAGGGGTTGGCAACTTCGGACGGATGCTGGGATCTCGCTGCGTTGGCTCGAGAGGGTAACTTCTGATTCTCTATCCTTTACATTTTATCATGGTTGCTGACGATTCGTACCTGAAGAGGCCGACTTGGAGGCCGACGATGAGGGCGGAGGGATGACGAGATCGACGAGGTGTTGGAATCTTGTTGCGATGACCCAAGAAGGTATGTTCTAATGCTCTCTCCTTTCCCTCTTATTCTTGTCGCTGACTACCGTCACTTCTAGAGGTGGAGACCGATGATGAGGGCGGAGGGATGGTGAGATCGGCGAGGTGCTGGGATCTGTGCGCGTTGGCCCAAGAAGGTATGTTTGCTCCGTTTTACGTCTTACTATCTCTACTGACAAATCTTCATTACAAAGGTAAAGGACGAGTGGTCGATAGTTGTAGACCAGTGGTGAGCGACGGGGGTGGATGAGCATGTAGTTGTGGGGCACAGTAGTTGAGGGTGTCGGGTTTTTGGGGCGGTTTCTGAGACACTTAATGCGGCCTCGGGTCTGTGTCGCACTGGGCTGACCCCCTTTCCATGTTTTCGCCTGGACTTCTTTGATGTCCTTTCGGATTTCTTTCTTGGGGTTTCTTTTGGGACTTCTTTTAGGACTTCGTTTGGGACCTCTATTTGGGATCTTTTTGGGACTCCTTCTCGGGACTTCTTTTGGATCCTTTTCTCGGTTTCTCCTTTGAACTTCTCTTTCACTGCTCACCTTTTCTTTGGATTTCTGTCCCATTCCTACGTTTCAGACCTAACCTTCTGCTTTCGCCTTCGAACTTCTTCCAAACTGCTCTTCGGACCTCTTATTCACTCTCAACCTTCCCCTTCCTTCGGTTTGCCTGTTCAAGTTGCATGTCTCTCTTTGCTTTTTCTTTGAGGTTGCCTGTTTTCCTCTGTTTCCATTCTCCAATGCAAGAACTGGCACACGCTCTCCTCCCTCTCCTCTTGAGAAATCCCGAGCTCACCTAGGCACATCCGCGTCGACAACCCGAACATCTGCCGTCCTCCTTTCTACTCAAATTGTACACCCACCGGGTTCTCTCATGACCTCGCTCAACCCGCGTGTCTGGCCCCGTCCTCAACTTCCCTCATATCATTGGTTCCGCTCTGCACCCTTAACGACTACACCAGACCCTACCCGCCAATTTTTGATCTCATCCGTGATGACCTTCAATACTTGCACCATTTGGATTTTCATTAGTATCATGGACGTGCTCTGGGCCTCAATCTCGAACTCATCTTTGGAGAGGCTCTGTTCACACTTGGCCAACGCCCTCACTGCCAGACCATCCACTAAGCAGCCTTGCCGGATCGTTATCAAGGTCACCTCTCTTCGCCTGCAGTCCTCAGGTGCCTTGCATAATCCATCCGCCAAACACTAGGTAGGTGGACGATCCTTAGATCCATTTTGTGTTCCTGATGCTTCCTCCTGCGATGCAGCTTCCTGTGCTAACTATACAGCGGTGCGATCATCATTTCCTCCAACTTCGTGCTGTTACTGAGCCCGCACTGTATTTATGCCTGCGCGCGAGATGTGTTTCCGAAACGTCGCGCGTTGAGGCTTACCGCATCGCGCAAGCAGGCCCGGGTGATCCAAACTCTTTAGCGGTATCCGACACTGTGCAGATACAGCTACATCTAGCTCGTATGGGTATGAGTGTACATGCCTCAATAGTTTGCTCATGTTTCTACCTTTTAATCCATTAGTATGAGCTTCTTCAAGCTCCAATCACAAAGGGGAACCTTCTTGCTGCTGTATCTTGAGAGATTTTCCGTCAGGCATGTGGCCTTGCGAGAATATTGTGCTAATATGTGGTATATGTCGAGTTTCATAAGAAGCACCACGGCCCGGGGCGTTCCAGTGGAAGCAGTGACGGATCGTCTGCTGCACTTCTGGATGAGGGCCCAAGCTTAT